AGGTTTTGAAGGAAGGGAAAAGGGATGATTCATCATCAGCTTTGGTCCATAGGCTCATAAATTTTCTTCTCTTTACCTAACTAATCATCATCATTACTAATTATGCTGCAGAAAATAAGCTGGAATGCAGTACAGGCTGGCGTCACACAGAGCACGTCCACGGATAGATGAGAGATGCTGTCACCAGGATGCCTTGAGTGGCTGAGCACGGAAGATAGGAACTGTTTCCCCATTCTGCTTTGGTCGTCAGCCTTTACGCTAGGGCCTAGGCTTACTTGGATAGAGTTGGAAATTGAGTAGTATAATCCAGTTTTAAAGGAGCGCAATGCCAATTAAGTGAGCATTACTTGGAACATAAATTCGTGAATAAAATTGCATGTTGGTTTTGTTGAAAAATGATGGTGTGGCAGGCCTTGGGGCAGGGCCAAGGAGAACCCTTGCATTCTTCCTCCCAAGCTGTTCAAAATGGCGGTTCTTTGAGAGCCAGGAAGAGCTCTCTGGGCAGATGGCACACAGCACTGGAAGGAGTCTGGAGTCAGCAGGGAGGGAGAGGGATGCACCAGTGCTCCTTGAGCCTTTTACCTGATTCAGCTAGAACTCCATTTTCCTCTTTAGCCGGTAAAGAATCAGGCTTCCAGAGGTTCAATGACTCGCTCTAGTGTCACAGCTGGTGGTGATAGAGCTAGGATTGGACCCAAGGTTCATTGAGGCCAAAGCCCTTGTTATTCCTCCTCCACTAAACTGATTGCCACATTTTTTATATGAAAGTAAGGTAAAGGATAAGGCAGGCAGGAAGGGGTTTTTTTTTTGTTTTGTTTTGTTAGGAAGGAAGATTGATAATTTCGTGGTCACAGTTTCCATACTGGTATCAAGAAACAGTTTTTTTGTCCCAGCTCCATGTATCTTGAAGGTGGTGGTCCTGAGTGCCGTTGTTAAAGAAAGCTGTCTCCAAATTCGTAAAATTGCAGGAATCTGTGCTTTTTCTTGTCCCCTCCCCACTTTTGTCATTTCTGCCACCATAGCTCCAAGCAGTCAGTCCTTCCCACCCAAGCACATGCCCATCTCCCTGTGGTCTGTCACCGTGGCCTTATCTCTGTCCCTGGGCTTTAATGCTAAGGACAGAGAGGAACATTTGCCAAGATTCGCCAGCAAACCCTGTGTTTTGCTTTTGTATTTTAGGAAAGAATAAATTCTGTACCTGGGGTCTGAAATGAGAAGGTTCTACCCTAACTGCTGGCTTACGGGGGATTTCCATTCCGCTTTGCCCACTGCAGACGTCTGGCAGCTTTCCCCTGTTTGAGCTCATGCGCTCCCTTTGCCTGCACCTGTCGCGGGCGGTCATGGCGTTGGGCAGCACCGCACAGACCCTGTGACTTGGAGCACGCCTGCCTCCTCTGCTTCTCTTCCCTCAGATTTCTCTGTTCTCAAAACAAAGTGATTCTTTGCCCTCTCAGCTACTGGCCTGCCCCTTTGCCTCACGCTACCTCCAAAGGAACTCCGGTGCTTCCATTCCAGCATCCCTGCCGACTACGTCATCCCCCTGGTACTCCACTGAAGACACTCTTAAAAAAATACCAAGGACCTCCTGGTCACCAAAGCCCAAGGTTCTCTCTCCATACCCTCATGCTGCTCAGGCCTTTTTTTTCTTCTTCTTCTTTTTTTTTTTTTTTTGCGAGGGATGCATGCTGGGAGATGATGGCTTTCCTTCTACCTCTGTCCCCGTTCATCCTTTCCATCAGAAGGAGCTCTGTGTTCCCCGAGGGTGTCTCTCTGTTCTTTTGTCTCTGGCTGATAGCTCTTTTTGGTGGCCCTCACCTGAGTCTCCAGGTCCATGCCTGACTCTTCTCTATACTATCATCCCCACATTTTCAGCTTTTTTCCCAACTCTTTCCTGTCTTCCTGAATAACTTGTTTCGTATCTCTTCCCAGCACCTCAACTGGAAGGTGGCCCAAGCAGAACTCACTGTCGTTCCGTCAGGATCCCTATTTCTCTTAATGATGCCACCCTCCTCTCCAGACTTCACCTGTGCCTTCTCCCTGACACACAGCCACATTGTAATTCACTGCCGGATCCCACTAGACTTCTCTCCTGCCGCTTGGCACCTCTCATCTCTTCAGCCTAATTGCCCATCTTTCCTTCAACGACTCGTTACGTCTTGTCTAATATTATAATAGCTTCCCTGCAGGTCTTTCCAATCTATCCTGAGTCTGACTACCTAATGAATCATTCTTATATTCTTTTTTTTTTTAAGATTTTATTTATTTATTAGAGAGAATGAGTGGGAAGATGGGAATGAGAATGATGGGAAGGAGCAGTGGGAGAGGGAAAAACAGACTCCACACTGAGCAGAGAGCCCCACGTGGGGCTCAGTCCCAGGTCCCCCGGATCATGACCCGAGCTGAGGGCAGATGCTTAACCCACTGAGCCACCCAGGCGCCCCCTCATTCTCATACTCCTAACCTCTCTGGTATTTTCCCATCGCCCACCAGAAAGCCCCACATCCTTGGCACTCAAGGCTGTCCACAGTGTGTGGTCTGTGCCTGGCCACACTCCCCTCTCCCCTCCCTGCAGGAATGCGCTCTCTCGGGCTGGGCCCGCGGGAGGCTGCTTGCAAGTTCTCCAAGAATCTCATTTCTGTAAAAGGCATCTGGGGGCACCTTGGGCTCAGTTGGTAGAGCCTGAGACTCTTGATCTCAGGGTTGTAAGTTTGAGCCCCACGTTGGTTGTAGACATTACTGAGAAATAAATAATAAAAAATAAAATCATAAAAAATTAAAAGGCATCTGTTTCAAAGACCTAAACATCAAAGCTAAAACTATAAAATTCTTAGAGGGGGGATTTTCAAGTTACTCTCACATTTGGAAAAAAAAAAAATCCTCCAGCCAGTGCCACAGGTAGAGCCTAGAAATAATTCTGCAGCTGCTCACGCCTTTCCTTGGCTCACACTGATTTCTGAACCTGAAAATGATCTGCCCCCTGCTTTTATATGTCCAAATTCTCTCCATAATCCAGATCATCCGTTGAGCCTTCCCTGATTCCTCCTACCCCTGTCCAGCACGTTTCCCTCTGTGTTTGTATTATAGCTGTTCACATGCATAACTGGTTCCTGCTAGGCTGGGAGTTTCTTACGGGCAGTGACAAGATCCTGGTTACAAGGGACAAAAACAAATACCATAATTCTTGACACGTGGAGATGTTCAATAAGAATCTGAATGAATACATGAATGGGAAGAGAAAATCTATTCATGTTTTCTTTCTTACCTAACCAGATTGCTTAAGAGTAGGATTTGGATCAGTTTCATTTATATGCCCAGTAGTAGCTAGCATTGTGCTTTGTGCCTGATAGATGCTCCACAGATAGCTTTAATTTTTACTTTTTTCAGTTTTTTTGAGGTATAAGTGACAAAACTGTAAGACATTGAAGGTGTGCGTGGTGGCGATTTGCTATATGGACATTGTGAAAGGACCCCCTGTCCCCCCATCTAGCTAATTAACACCTCCATCACCCGATAATATGTTTTTTCATCGAGAACATTTGAGTTCTATCCTTAGCAGATTTCAATTATTCAATAAACATTTCTTGAATTAGTGGATAGATAAGCAGCTGATTATGATATGAACTTTCTGAATGCTCTATTATTCTGTTTGACTTTCAGTAATTTAACCGAGGCGCTCTTACTACATCTAAAATGTTTCACGGTATGTTGCTGGTTTTGGTTATTGTTATTTTCACCAGTGATGATTTTTTGCTTTAAACTTTTCCTCCATTTCTAATTCTGATTTCTAACAAATCATATCATTGGCAAGGAGTACATTCTTAATTTCACAAGGGAAGTTAGAAAAAGGAGGTTTGCTTTTTAAGAAACGTGTGCTGGAACTTTTCCCTGTTATTAGCTCCTGGCCCTGGGAGTGGGTGGGGTTCAAGGACTGGTGATTTTTTTCTACAATAGTGGTCGGGTAGTTCTTTCCAGAGCCATTGTGACTCCATCCAGAGACGGATAATTTGGACACTTTCAATAGGAAACAGAATTAGCAGCCTTCACTGCCACACTGGAGCCTTAGGGGTTTCCTCAGACCCCAGTTAAGTTGAACTAAGTCATTCTGCTTCCTCTCAGTACCAGGAGGCTTACACTGTTTTCGTTTTATGGTGGGGGCTGCCTGCCAGTCTTCTTTGGCAACCTCTTGCTAGAATACTTGGTTACGACTGGCGAGTTAATAGTACTTGCTTGCGGTCCCGTTCCTGGGTGCGAGCCTAAATAGTATTGCCATTAAAGTAAGGGATGGAAAATACTAGGGGTCCCTGTGTGCCTTTGCGACCCCTGCTGCCTGAAGGCTCATTGCTGTGGCTGGCCATTGTTGCTGTTGTTTTGAGTTCTTGTCTCTTTTGAAACCAAATGATAAGCATTACTTTATTTCAATGATTTGGTGGGGGGGGTCCCAGATATGGTGGGGGGGTCCCCAGATATTTGGCTGCACTGTTTTAATTTCCTTTGCGAGAGGAATTGAGCAAGTAAGTTACATGGACTCCCTAGATTTGGGAAGTTGCCTGAATCTGGCAATGAACACTTGCAGGAGGGTAAGTTGAGTCAGGAGAAGACGACCAGCGGGTTGAAGGAAAGAAATTTACTTTTAGGAGATGATACAAAGTTAATGGAAGCAAGAGAATTTCTTTGGTGTATTTTAGAAGAACAAGCCAGGGTCTACCAAGATACACAAAACATAATCAAGTCTCCCTCTTTATGAAATATGGGGCATGTGTGCCCCCGTGAAAGCATTCCCTGTAGAAATGAGCAAGGTACTTACCGGAAGAAGCCGCCTGAGACAACTCCTTTACCTTGCACTGGGCATTACAAGTGGGACTCCTGTAATCTCTCCCGAGTGGGAAATATTTATGTTTTTGACCCAGTGTCAAGACTTTTTGAACCCCGGCTGATGTGCTGACACCTCAGCTTGTTTGAAATAATTAACTTTTCTGCATTTTTTTGTCTTCTTCAGAAATGAACACACTCGAGTATGCTCGGTGCCTGTGAGCTCCCTGATCCCCTCACGACTTTGGAAAGCCAAGAAGGAAGGCGTGGGAGTGCCTGCCCCTGAGAACAAGCTCCTGCCCCTTGGCCTCGGCCTTCCTGCTTCCCAGAGGCGCGATGGAGACGCTCTCCCAGGATTCCTTGCTGGAATGTCAGATCTGTTTCAATTACTACAGCCCCCGGCGAAGGCCCAAGTTGCTGGACTGCAAACACACCTGCTGCTCGGTGTGCCTCCAGCAGATGAGGACGAGCCAGAAGGACGTGAGGTGCCCCTGGTGCCGGGGCGTCACCAAGCTGCCCCCGGGCTTCTCCGTGTCGCAGCTCCCCGACGACCCCGAGGTCCTGGCGGTCATCGCCATCCCGCACGCGTCCGAGCACACCCCAGTGTTCATCAAACTTCCCAGCAATGGGTGCTACATGCTGCCCCTGCCCATCTCCAAGGAGCGAGCGCTGCTGCCCGGAGACATGGGCTGCCGCCTGCTGCCCGGGAGCCAGCAGAAGCCGGTCACCGTGGTGACCATCCCCGCGGAACAGCAGCCTCTGCAGGGCGGGGCGCCCCAGGAGGCGGTGGAGGAGGAGCCCGACCGGCGGGGCGTGGCCAAAAGCTCCACCTGGTCCGGGGTGTGCACTGTGATCCTGGTGGCCTGCGTCCTCGTCTTCCTGCTGGGCATCGTGCTGCACAACATGTCTTGCATTTCGAAGCGCTTCACTGTGATCTCCTGTGGCTGAACAGCGCGGCCGGGGAGTCTCTCGTGGGTGCCAACTCGGGGTTGAGCAGGTGTTGGTGATGGGATCGCAGCGAGAAGATGGGGGGCGACGCTGATCATTTGGTGCCAGCGCTGGCCTCTGGGCTGCCACTTGATTAACCGGAGACAGACGCGAAGGGCAGACGCGAGGTCTCAGCGAGATACCGGGCAAATCATTGAGCGTTGGTGGCAACAGCTTTGAAGACGATTGCATGCATCCCCATAATCATTTATTAAATGGACTGTGATTTATGATTTGTCAGAATCCTGTTATGAGATAGACGTATTCTACTTAGACGTTAAACTGTGCAAGTGCATAAAATGTGATCTTCTCTAAATGTGGTAGATTAAAACAAAGATGCTTATGTATACAAATAGAACTAAACCTGAGAATCCCCCTAAAAATTCAGCGACGACATGCAGTGCTGGTTCCTTTCCCCTTTTTAATGGAAATCCAGTCTTCATTTAGTTGCTAAGGCTTTTTATACTTTTTGAATGGAACCCGAATTAAAATAAGTGAAGTGGATGGTCTTTTTTTTTTTTTTTTTTTTTAAAGAAAGTGTCCGAACAAGTGTTTCCAGTGAGTTGTGTTTTGTTCTGTACCTCCATTTTTCTTCCCTTGTAATTAGAGCTCACTACGTGTTTATTAAACTGAAAGCCCAACAGGAGAGCAATAAACTGAGTAATAATGAGAAATGCCTAATCCCACAGGAACCCTATATGCCAATTTTTCTCAAGCCATCTCACGAAGTAAGAATTTTAAATGTAAATATTGTGTTATTTGTGTGTGTGTGTGTGTGTGTGTGTCATTTGATTTACCTCAGGTTTTGAATCTTTTCAGAAGAATCCCAGGAGTAAGACTTTGTGGGCCTGAATGAGTCCAGGGTCTGACTCGGTGGCCACCTCTCGAGCGCCAGGACCCAGGACTCTCCCCGGGAAGTGTCACGCACGCATCACTTCCGACATTTGCTCCTCCTCTGTATATCCAAGTCCTGTATTCTGTGAGGCACAGATGGAAAGTGACAGAAGACGCTGTCTTGGCTCGGAGTTTGGAGGTATCATGGTAGATATGAGTGTTGTTCATCGATCACAAACCTGGACTGACATTTTAATAGACAGTCCATGATTGCTTTTTGAACGATGTCGTTCCGTGAGAGTTTAAACCATTTAGGATTCCAATTTCCTCTTGGTGGTACAAGTGAGAAAATCTCTTGTATTTCAAAATATGTTTTTATTGAGAAAAGTGACAAGATAAACTAACGACTCACATTCCCAATCTAAAGTGGATCAGTTCATCATAAATTCTCGAATATTCTTAAAAGTATAGTGATCTGCAGACGCTGGTGAAGAAAGATCTGCTGGTGTTGAAGTTGTAATTTCCTGTGTCTGGATGTGTGTGCATTCAGAAATAGCCATCAGCTTTACGGTTCTCTTCTAATTTCTTTTATGGAATTCATGGAGCAAGTGTATTTGAAAGCTCAAAGTAGAAATTAGGTTAAAATGCCATTTTATTGTCTAAGCTATTGGGCATTATACAACAAATAATCTAGGATTTATTTGATATTAATAATTTAGGTATCCTATTAACTGAATACTATCCTCTATTACGTAACATAATATACTGTTGGGCTAGTGTCGATTTCTCAAACTCTGCCAGGCTGCCGTGATGCATGTCTGACCTAATTTCTATACCTCTTGGAGGAAAGGAAAAAAAAAAAAAAAGACCTCGGAAAATGTTGCATTAAGAATGCTACATTTCAAACGGACTTGACCCTTGCAGTTTTCAGCCAGCCCATATTTGAGTTGCTTTTGTGAATGACATCTACGTCTATGTTCAGTATGAAATGACTGGCCCCGTAGTATAGTATGAACTAGAGTCCTGCGTGTTAAGTAGGTTTTATATAGACGCTAATGTGTGTGGCGGTAGAGCGCCCTGTGTTTCTTAGTGCAAAGCCGTAGAGTAAAAATGTCCACGTAACTTAAAAACAGTCCCACGCTAGAGCTGCAGTGAAGCAGTGCCAAATTAATCAGCCCTGTGATAGATTATTGACTTTACAATTTAAGGTAACAATAACACCCAAATCAGAATTCTGTGTGTGTGTCTTCCTGACCTAAGAAATACTGTTTCAACGGATTCTGCCTTCAGTTACTTGTGTATTGCCTGTCAAAGTGTGCAGTTGTGCACACGTGTGTGCGCGTGTTTCTGTGCGTCATAGCTCAGCCTGCAGATAGAATATTTGTACACTTGATGTTTTCATGTTAGTTGGCATCCCATCGCGCTGGCCTCTTCTGGCATTTCCCCACAACACTAACAACTCATCTACCCCGTGTGACAAAAGTCCAGGGACACAATCAACTGGCATTCACAGTTGCACATCAGTGGAAAAAAATCACAACTGAAAGCACAGAAAGTCAGAGCTGAGAGCAGCCTCTGGTGGCTTCCTTTTGTGCATGAGTCCATGGAGGCCCACAGAGGTGTGTGGCCCCTTGTAATTCTGCAGCAAAATGGAGACGAGAACTGCATTATTCTCTGCTCTTTCCGAGGCCTGTTGATGTCTCTGTCAGGCTCTGATCTTTTGGAGGGTGAATAAATACCCTTTACTCACTCAATAGTGCTTTAGTTTGTTGTTGTTGTTGTTTTAAATATATATATATCTGTTTTAGTTAGCATCTACCTCTCTGGGAAACGAAAGGATGATTGAGTTAAGGATGAGTATAGACATTTAATAAAAAATGATGTGATTTGAATTTTTAAAATTGCCAACCATTGGTTCCCCCCACCCTTATGTAAAGGACAATGAGTGTTGTGTAAATAGTAAACTTTAAGAAGCATGAATTTTCATCTTTATTAATGATCATGACATAAGCAAGAGAATACTTCATATGTTAAGTACAACCAACCAAGAATGCTATCAAAAAGCATTGTCTTGGGAAATTTTTGTACAGTGACCTGGGGCACAAGTAGTGATCGAAAAGGCCAATTGGTTTTCAGTTTCAGTCATACTTTATGATTAGAAAGCTTAAAAGGTATTTTCTTTAAGAATACAATTAAGTTCAGTCTTGAGCATGACCTAAAAGTAGGTCCCTTGAAGGTTAACCCATGTGCTGGTGCAGCTTAGAGCTATTCTGTTCAATAGATCTCTCTCCGATGACGGAAGTGTTCTATGGCCTATGCGGTCCAATATAGTGGCCACTGGCCATATCGGCTAGTGGGTAGTTGAAGTGGGGTTAGTATGACTGAGGAATGTATTTTGTATTTTATTTAAGTTATCTAAACATAGTCACTCACCTGTGGCTGGTTACTACCGTATTGGACCATGTAATTCTGGAGGGTTGCATAGTGGGATCTAGCATGAGAGTGTTGACAGGGTACAGAGTAGGGCTAAGAGAACAGTTTGTGGTTTAGTAACATGCAGTTGCTAAAAAAAAAAAAATCCTTTCTGGGCTTAAAAGATAAATGATCTCAAGTATGATGATTCAAATTCATTGATTGCCCTTTGGGGTTATTACTTACATACTTTGGGCCATAGAATGGTCAGTGAGGCATAAAGAGTGTTTTATAAAGCCCCTCGTCTGGGATCATTAGCTGCATGTGAATCTGTTGTCCAAAAATAGTAGTTAGACAGTAGCTGTAAAAACGTTTGACTTGCAAGCTATGCATGACCTATACTGTGAAACTGTGTTTAGGATCTTAGGGCCAAAAAGTAAATGTTACAGAAAAACAGAAAAAAAAAAAAAAGTCTAATGAAATTCCTCTTCACTTCAAGCATCTTACCCAGATTTCATCACTGCATGAGTAAGGTGTGAAATGTAAGAGCAATCATGTTTCGCAGTGTTTGTAGAGGGGTTTTGTTTGCCCTTGAAGTCTGCTGGCTTGTCGTTGTGTTTGGTATGAGGACCCATTTTCAGATGCTGGACGACAGGATAGGTACTGTTCTTAGAGTGAGATTTGACACGTGCAGTCTTGTTTGGTTTTTCCTTTTATCTCCTATCACTGAACAAATTGCAAATTTGCAGCCGTGCACAAAGGCTTTTTTTTTTTTTTTACATTAAAAAACATTGTTCAGGGAATTTAAAGTGTTATTAAAGGGTTATTAAAGTTAACGAAAATTGCTTTTTTAAGTGAGTAAAAGAAAGCAGAAAATTGAGTTTGAGATACATTTTCATAGAAAGATGAGACTCTTCCTGATGGTATGATACTTATTCTAGTCTGTATTTTGATTTGAAGAGTTCACATTGCTTTATTTGAAATCCTGTGCGGTGTCAGAATTGGCTAGTCTACTTTTCATTGTTCCTGAGTATAATGTGAACATTGCATTTGTCTCAATTTAGCAAAATTTTTTAAAAATTTTAGCAAAATATTTTTTTTTTGAGAACTCATCAGTGGGCATGACCTTTTTAGCTTATCTCTTAAAATTATTTAATTTTTTTTTTTTTGCCAAGATAATAGTTTGTCTTCAGACTTAAGAGGAATTTAGAAGTCTAGAAGTTATTGGTATGAGAGGAGTGATATCGAAAAGGTTTGAATTTCTATCTTCTAAAAGAACGATATTGTCAGTCAGTCTGCATTTTGTTCCCACACAAAACATGTCACCAGTCAGTTGATCGGTCATCCTTGACCGTTTCCGTCATTCCCAGGAAAACATCACATACAAGGTAACCCTTAACCAAAACAGAAGCTCCAGAAAAGAATGGAGTCATCAAGAAAATCCAGTAGCTGTGTTGAAAGTATTAGTCTATCTCAAAAGCAGTGAATTTTAGTTAAATTTTAGTTAAATTCAGTTAAATTTTATTAAGCATGAAATATTTCTAAAAAATAAGTGGAAATTGAAGCCATTGATTTTTTTTCTGACACGATTCACTATATATATATATATATTTGCACATACAGGTATAGACATATATGTATATACACACACACACGACTTAGCTGTAACAGGAGTTTAAAAAATCAAGTAAAAAAATGTTGTTAGTCATGTTTTCCAATTTGTGGGTTATATAATGTTGAACTTAGATGTTAATTTCTTAACAAATGCTATAGGCTGCATACATTATATCAAACCAACCACCTTTGGGAATGTCTAGGTGAATAAACCCTTGACACTTCAAACCTATGAAAAGGCGGGTTCTCCTCTATACATTTTATTGGAAAGCCATTGATGATTGAAGAACGCAAGCAGGAGGGGCATTTAATTTCTGTCTTTCAAATGGCTTGTTTTTTGGCTCAGAGGTGGAGTACCATTATTCCTGAACTCATGCAGTGTGGCTCCAATTTTTCTGCACAAGTTTCCTTGCACAGTTGGGCCAATGGATTTTTTTTTTTTTTTCAGGACTCACTGCCCGGGGTATCCCACTATTCCCACTATGTATATCTCCCTTACGATGTAGTGGTGCTTGAAAACACTCATCTTGTTAGCTGGACTTTATTATTCTAGTCTAAGGTTTTTGATACTATTCATATTATGATCTTTTATAGGGACAATCAGTAATATTTGGGGCAAAGTACAGAGGAGTCTCTTAAAGTCTGCATCAGCATGCATTGTCTTTTGTTTTTTCTGGGGGTACTCTCTTAGAGTTGTCCCTGTTCTTCTAGAACACTGCTCTAAATTCATCACCGCAGGGTGCAGGGCTAGTAGCCTGTGTGAGGGTTTTCTGTATTCTCCCTGTGAGTTACTGGGTTATTCTAATTAGTTTTCCAAAGGGATGTTCCATTTTGAATTTGACATTTGCTTTTTGAGAATCTGGAAGTAGATGATTGACTGTGAGGATGGTAAAGGAACATGGGGTGTAAGGAGGAGGAAAAAGAGGAGGAAGATGTCCCCTCGACCTCAATCTGTGTCATCTCTGTTTAGATGGGAGGACAGAGTAGGTGCTGTCGTACACTGTGCTTTAGGAAGCTCCTGGCCTGATTTTTCTGGCTGAGAGACAGATCCTGTGTGGGAGCAGTGGAGACGTGGCCTTGGGTCTATAGCAATAGGTAGATGTGCTCAAGACAGAAAATACTTGCATAAAAGAGAAATCTGTAGTGGGATCATGGGTAGAGAACAAAATACATGGGAGCTGAAGGTCAGTTGTGGTAGAAACCAGCTGAAAAAAGAAACACAAGGACGACTAGGAATAACTTAGACAAGCACATTTGTCATTCTAGGATGGCCTACCAAATTCAGTTCCAG